TCCGTAACACGTTCATGTCCTTTAATTCCACTTTGAGTAATTTCAATAATGTTGCTGCACTTTGAAATTAATTTTTAATGTTGCTTTTTATTATAATTGTAAGTACTTAAAAAACGCAAATGTTGAAGTTGTTATCTTTCCTTAATACTACGTAACATTTTTTTTTACTTGGGTACTGTAGGAGTTCTACTTGCACAAATTAAAGGTGACTCTTAGAACTACGGAGTATTATTTTTTGGGACAAAAAATTGAAAAAAATTAAAAAGTATGAGTTTTACTTACGCTGTTACCATTCTAGTATTTTGACTATTTTCTTAGTGTCTGTAGTGACCTCAATGATGTTCAATATAACACTGTAGCTACCGTGAGGTCATCTTCACAATTATTGTAGTGCCCATGTATCCAAAGAGTAATGTTTTAGTAATGTTATTGGAAACACCCAAAAAAAATCTTGAAAGGCAAAGTGTGTATAGTAAACGTGAAGCCTAACTATGTGATTATGATTTTAATTGAGACAATGATGTTGATGCTGTACACTACTTTGGGAATAGGTTGCACATGCTGTCGCCAGACATAGTGCTGAAGAAATTTCAAAACGGTTGTGGCTTACCATCATACAACTGGTTCTTTACCAGTTTGTTATGCCCGACGCTGTTAACACTTTTTCCACTCTTTTCCTAAACCTTCCCTTCACAAGAAGGTATGCTCCCCCCCCCCCCTCTATCACATGCTATTTTCATTGTTAAAATTTCCAGCTCCATATAAGAAGCATAGTATAACATATTCAGTGTTCCATCAGGATGGAGATGGAAGCAGACTACATTGGGCTTCTTTTGATGGCATCGGCTGGGTTTGACCCACGAGTTGCACCAAAAGTGTACGAGAAGCTGGGGAAAATTTCAGGTGATTCGGCTTTGCAAGATTACCTGTCCACCCATCCATCTGGTAAGAAGAGAGCCGAGTCGCTGTCTCGGGCTGGAGTCATGGATGAAGCTCTCAATATTTATCGCGACATTCAATCTGGAAAAGGAGTTGAAGGATTCCTATAGAGGGATGAATCAAGAAGATGCTCACTGTTTACCTCAATGGAACTAAAACTAAACTACCTCGTGTGTGCTTAAAAGTCAGAACGAGTTGAGCTTTTGGTTTATTTGTGTATATTTAGTTTTCTAAAAAATGACGTTTTTTTAAAATGGTAAATGGCTTATACGCCTAGTTAGCTTTTTTCCGTTTTAAACGCGTTTTAAAAATGTACCGTTTTTTTGACCAAAAAAACACGTTTAAAAAGGGGGGAGATGTCGGTCCGTTTAAAAAGGAAAAAACTCCTACTTCCCGTATTTTACAAAAAACATAAACATGAATTGACCAATTGAATGAATGCACTAAATGCATAGAAGATCAACAATAGTGTAAAAGTAAAAATGAAAACGTCCTCCCCATGATCTCGTGTTTTTGTATTGTTACAGTGCAATTATTAAATACTAAAATTAATTGCATGATGGCTAAAGCTAGCATTCTGAAATACTAAAACTTACGTAGTAATATACTACAAGATTTGTGATGTTTTTTCAAGGGAAAGTTTCCGAAATAGGACTAAAAAAGTTCGAAAATTCCAAAATAGGACTGTCATGTTTTTATTTCCAAAATAGGACTAATTACTGCCAAATTTGAAAAATACTGCCATGTTTGAAGTCTGGTACTGCCAAAACATGACAGTAATTAGTCCTATTTTGGGAATAAAAACATGGAAGTCCTATTTTGAAATTTTCAAACTTTTTTAGTCCCATTTTGGGTAATATCTCTTTTTTCAAGCTAGCATATCAAAATTAAGATTTTTCTAAATCTATCGTTTTTTAGCATAAACTTTTACACAAACAATAATAAGTGTAGCAATCACACAACTTTTGTCATATGTCATCTTAATGAAAATGATGAGTTTAACTTGAGTGTTACTTGATAATCATATAAAGATAATGATTTTTTGACATTATTTTTCAAAATTATGTCTTGGAGTTAATTACTGTTTTTATTTTTGTCATCGACTTATGCAATTACGAACTATTCTTGTATGTAGTAATGAGATTTGCTACTTGAATATGTGTATACTTTTATTTCTTTTTTACTATATATGTTATTTTATGAAATATATCATTTAAATTTTCAAAATAATACCCGTATTTTTCGTCCGAATTTTTGTCATAGACAACGTATTATACACGTATACGTATTTACACGTTTTTTAAAAGTCATACTTTTTTTCAACGACTTTTTGACCGTTTTTTCCATTCATGTTAACGAATAAAACGCGTACGTATTAAACCTCATTTAATTCCCGTACCGTATTTAACTAACTAGGCTTATGCGTATTATTGAAGTTCCAGACTTGAGGCAAGTTATATTAAGATAAAAAAGTCACACCTCAATTGCTAGTCCTAGAATTAGATTTAGAGAATCATCTTTCAAATGCAATATAATATAAAACGTTGATCCCGAAAACGGACACAATTGAGCCAACTGTCATGGAAAAAGACTCTTCATCACCCCCCTAATACATATAATTGCTTGATAGCTATGATTTCATTTTCTAATACAGAGTTCATACTTCATATGACCTGATATTTCACGGCTATTCAGGGACGGATCCAGAATTCTGAGTCAAGGGGGGCGAAATTTTTCGTTAGTGTAGGGGGTGAATTTTTTTTTGTTAGTGTAGCGGGGTGAATTTTTTTTCCCTAGTATAGCGGGGCGAAATTTTTTCGCTACTGTAGGGCCATGCGGCTATTTTTATTCAAAAAATGACATTAATACATGCACATCCCGAACGACATTTAAATCTATTACATTCTAAGTTTATACGATGACAAAGACATCAACCAATACATTTTTAATAACTTCTACATTGTTTAACCTCATGAATCGGTTATTGAATTGTAATTTTTGTCCACCAAGAAGAGTGTTCGTGAGTCATGACTCATGAGAAGTTTTCTTAATATTACAATAATAGTATACTAGTATGTATGAGATTGTTATTTTTAGAATAATATGCACCACATACATACACACACATATATATATATGGTGCATATTATATTTTAATATTTTTATTAATTCTATAATAATTCAGAGTTTATTATCCATGTAATAAATTATTTTTAGAAAGCAAGAAGTAAATGAATTATGTAATCTAATGTCTATAAATATTTATATTTTGGATTCACTTCACGTGATCTAAAAATTGTGTAATTAGTGTGTTTGGTATTTAATATTGTTTGATATATGTTTTACGAAATCCAGTACTTGTTATCTAATAAAGATAATTAAACATTAGATGTTTATAATTAAACATTATAATAAGTATCCTAAATCTTAAATAACGAGTTACTCTATTGTTTATTTGTTTAAGTTATGTAAATTATTTTAGATGTTTCTTCTTTTAAATCTCCAATTAAGTATTACATTATGTAAGACTATATATATTAATTTTGAAAATTAAAAGCTAAGGGGGGCGAATCTAATTAAATTATGAAAGTTTTATGAAAATATTACATATATGGTAAAAAAAATTGAATGTCCAAGGGGGCGGTCGCCCCCCCCCCCAATCCATCCCTGCGGCTATTCCACCTAGATAGTTTTAAAGGGTGATGGCATTTTGTGGGTTTTTGTAGACGTTCTCTGATCATACATGATAATTGGAAATCATGAAATAATAATCAATATAGATGGAATTATTAAAAGATGGTTTCTTAGGTCATCACCACTTGAGTACAATCTTTTGATACTGTTTGTTACTGTTTTAGACTTGTTTTATATAAATTTGTTTACCAAATAAGGAGACATGACTTTGTTTTGAGACATCCCGAAAAAGAAAAGTGCAACTTTCTTTTAGAGACGAATGGAGTATACATTAACTTTTATTTATTATTTATATAGAAAAATGGCCTTTAAAAGTTGGGACCTATGCATGTGCTTCCCTGCCAGGAACTGAAGACCCGCTTAACCCCTTGTTCCAAAAGGTTCAATCTCCAACTCAAGGGGATAGCTCATGTCCCGACGCCACAGAGCATATGAGGCGTTGTAAATCATGATGATTCAGCTGATCACAAAGACTAGATCATTGTTCGTTGCGCACAAAGAGTCTACTAACATTGAGAGGTTACTCGCGTATTGCCGTTTGCGAGACTCAATCTTGGGTCGCATGTACCAAATTATATGCCTCTGACCAACTATGTGAGCTAGAGACCCACTTAACCCCATCTTAGTTTGGGACAAGCGAAAACCCCTTTATATTTAAGTGTATATACACAATGTCAAAGACCACTCACGAAACATGAAGGAATGCCCTTTATAAATAGTTTAAGGCGGTGTTTGCAAACGCTTAAAAAACGCTTTTCAGCTTTTGACTTAAAAAAGCTAAAAAGATTGTTTTCAAGTGATAACTCCTGCTTTTTACTTTTTCTATTACACAAAAAGCACATATTTTACCAAACACTGTACTTTTACACAAAAACTTTTACTTTTCAAAATCATTTTTTCTCAAACACTACCAACTTTTACGATTAAGCATTTTTTTAAAATCTTTTTAAAAAGTGATTTTTTAAAAGAACAAGCTATTGCAAACACTCTCTAAATGCAAGTTGCCGATTATGAGGATTTTTTGTATTTATAATTTAAAGATGTGCAAGAAACTCGAGCTCTTAATTCTTTGTGTGCTGTTTATTGTTCCTAAGTTGGCCCTATGCAATAATCCACATTTATATTACAGCTACTTCTACCTCAACAAATGGTAAAAATGTAAGTTGGTTACTAAAATAATAGGATACTTTAAGGATATATTTGATTGAACTGAAACTTTCTGATCTGATTGAGTCTGATATGTTTAATTTTAGTTTAATCATCTTAACTTTGATTAGATCAAGTCTGTTCAGGTCTGAGGGTGAAAATAAAACAACCTAAATATATGACAATATATTGATTGGATAATAGATATTCTAAAATGAAGTTTAAAATCCAAGGTTAAAGTGGTATAATGACTAGTGTCATCAAGTTTGCTGTAAGCAAATGTTACAAAGCCTGTTACTAGATTCATAACATTTTATCCTTTGACCAAATTGTATAGCTTCTTGGATTCATACAACATTCTAATTTCTAAACCAATTATTTGTAGAACATGTTTAAATCACCATTTTAGTGAAATGAATTAGTGTTAGGGTGCCAAAAGGGATCAAAATGAAGACCAATAGATGAAAGCAATGGCGGTGCTTTTGATTCAGTTATTTTGATCATCACAACATTTCCTTTAACAGCTCCATTCTCCAACCTGTGCAGCTTCTTGTACCCCACCGTGGTCCCATTACCAACCTTAACCCCATCCACGTAGATTTCATGCCCTTCTATTCTCTGACCAAGTCCTATAGCTTCTTGAATTCTCACAACGTTGAACTCAATCGGGTCTTTGTTGGTTGCATTCAGCCCAACCCAATAAGGCCCATTGTCCTCATCACTCGGGGCCCAATAAGTCCACAAATCATCCCCGTCCAATGTATTCATAGGCCCGAACTTGTCTTCTCCGTCCGGGCCTCCCCTCACGCTGCTTGCTTGGACTGAGCAGTTTCGGGCCAAGTTGACTGAAAATATGGTGTCGATCGCGCTTTTGAACTCTTTCAGGCGTGACACGTCAGAATCTGATATCAATCCGTCCGTGTTTGGCGGCACGTTTAATAGTAACACACAATTTCTCCCAATCGAGTTGTAATAAATTTCAAGTAGAACACCTAGAGGTTTCGGTTTTTCGTTGTGGTGCCAAAACCAACCGGGTCGGATTGAAATGTCACATTCTGCTGGAGTCCAGTTTGTACCTTTCGGGTCACCCATGTATAGATAACTGCATAATCATTTACAAATTTAAGGATGGTTTGTAGAAACTTAAAGAATGCTTCTTTTGGTTAAAAAAGTTGAAATTAATGCTTTCAAGTAACTGACTTCTATTTACGTTAAACACTTGAATATCAAAAGATGTTATCACTTGGACAATTACTTTAAATCGCACTTAAAATAGAAGCAATCACGCACACTATTCATAATTTCATAATAAATAGTTAGATACTAGTAGTTCTAGTCTTTTTGTCAATTTCAGAAAATCAGAAATTATGTGCATGGTAGCGGGGTCAGTTCGATGGTGGCGGCAGCTCGGCATCAGCGGTGGCGGCGGTCCGACAGTCCTGGGGCAGCAGCGGTAAAGGCTGTGAGGGGTATTTTGGTCCAATCACAAATAAAAACTCCTATTTAAAGATGTTAAACTAGGTGCTACTATTTTGAGAAAAAAAACTATGTTTTGCTCCTATTAAGATAATTAAATTTCCCTAAAAAATTCAATACAAAGTGATGTTGATATAATATTGGGCTTACTCAAGAGGGGCCCCGCTGCCGATTGAGAGTGAGGTCCGATTAATGGTGGACCAACAAGTGGTGCCTGCAAACCCATTCTCATTGCCGACCCATCTCACGTCAGGCCCAGCATTTGAAAATATGTTGATTGTGCCTTGCAACTCCCTCACCATCGCAAACCAATCGCTGAAATAGTAATCCATGTTTGGTACATCTGAACTCTTTGCTCCATCAAACCATATTTCTCTAACGCTACCATAGCTGTTTCATTTATTTCAAAACAAACATACCTTTAACATCTTATTCAATTAATTAATAACCCATGCATTAATATAATTGATGTGTAATCCAACTACTATATTCGTATCCTCAGCTCATTGGGAAATCAAATCAATTGTATTTGGATTACAAATGTATACATGCTTCCAAACTCTCAATTTCTTCTATAACTGATGATACTATAATAAGTTGAAAAACACAGTTAAAAAGGGAAGTTTCCATTTTAATTTTCGGATCAAAGTTCATTAAGTTTATAATTTGGGCATTAATTAATTATTCAATGAATATGTTACATTAAGTTTATACATGCACTTTTAAATAACATTTTTAATGCGGAGTATACATCATTAATTTTGATTATTCTATGTATTGGAGCATTTCAATATATGTTATTGAACTTATATGGGAACTTATATTGTTTTGGAGTACTATAGTACTCTGTATTTGTTTTGTACTGAGAGTAATATTTTTATTCTTATAATTTTGGAGTATTGAATAGCAATTTTGATTAAGACATGGACACACTTTAATTTGGAGTCTATGTTTTGTATTACTTCAACATGAACAAAATGATACTCAACTCCTTACACCCCACAATCATTTTTTCACTCTCAGCTCGTATATGTGATGTTCCACAATTAAGCCTCTACTTTGATTTTGATAATACTTGAGCGGTAAAATACTTTTTAACCCTATGAAAAGTACACGTAAAGTACGTGATCATATTTACAAATGCCAAACTCAAAGTGAAATTAATATATATAGGAAACATATTTTCCTTGGTTAATGAAAAGTACGCGTAAAGTGATCATATTTAAAAATGTAAAAGTCAAATTAAAATATACATAGAAAATATATTTTGGTTATGTTGATCGAGATTAATATAAAGAACCTTATCAAAATAAGAGTATAATAATTTATTTCTGTAGGGATACTATGTTTCCTCTGAATTAAATAATACTAAGTGCTCTATCTTGAAATCATATATTATCATACTCAAATTATATTGCCATCTTTTTATTGTTTTATCTCATACTATTCTTGTTTAAAAAAAGTTTACTTCTGTTTTGAGAACACTTGAATGATTAATATTTTGAGAAATATTTCATAAAAAATGTGATGGTAATTTTCTTAATAAACCTAATTCTTTTGTCACCGTGACAAATACAATTAATAGAAACTTGTAATAGTGCATCACATTGAACAAAATACGCGTCAATACACAATTTATTGCATGAGAAAGTTTCTTTTTATTTGAGCTCTCCCGTGTGTATATACTTCCTATATATCGACTTTTAATTGTTGTTACGGAGTATGAGTAACATTTTGGGTGATAGGTTTAAAAAACAATTGATTGAGAAGATCGAACTCACTTACTTATTAAGAAGTTCTTGTAATTGGGCCAAGTAATACTCATTGTAAGCATGGCTATTGCCATATCGGCGATCATGTCGATCCCACGGGGAGAGGTACAACCCCACGTCAACACCACACGCCTTCGCTTTATCGACAACCTCTCGGACCACATCGCCACGCCCTTTTTGCCACGGACTGTTTCTAACTGAGTGATCGGTGTAGTTTGAAGGCCATAGGCAAAACCCGTCGTGGTGCTTCGCCGTGAGGATGACGAGGGAGGCGCCGGCTAGGGCAGCGGTTTCAATCCATTGGCTGGCATTGAAAGAGGTTGGGTTGAAGACAGAGGGAAGTTCTTTGCCGGTGCCCCATTCATTGCCCGTGAAAGTGTTAACGCCGAAGTGGAAGAAGAGGATAAGCTCCCTCTGTTGCCATTTGAGTTGAGAGAAGGTGGGGAGAGGGAGGATTGGCAGGGGTGGAGGTGTTACGGCTTCCTCTTCTGAGAATAATGTCAAGAAGAAGACTATTGTGATGAAGTTTTTATGTAAAGAGTGAGCTTTATTATTCTTATGGACCATCACAATTCTTTATCTTCCCTAATTTAGAGATATGATGATGGTTGTTAGTTGTACAATGTATATCCTTCTATTTATAGAGTAATTATCCGGGTAAAACATACGCCTAATAATCACTTTTCCCTAAACAGGAGTGAGTCCACCTCTAACATAATTTTCTCTAAATTGGAGTAAATTTTAATTTTCTACCTCTAATACTCCTAATCTAATTAATTAATAAAATTAATTGTCACCTACTTCCTTTGGATAATCGGGGCAGTCAGTTGGTGACGGCGGCATATTCTGACAATCGGCAGCTGACAGATGACCCATCGTCGGTTTCAGATCCGGTGCCTATGGACTTTCTGTTATAAAAATGATATTAAAATTGCGAGTTTAACCAGATAAAAATCCCGAGTTTAAACAAATCACCAGACAAACCGCCAAATGCAAGAAAAGAAAATAATAATAATAATAATAATTAGAATGAATTGAAATGAAATAATAGTAAAGATAAGAATGCTTATCGCAGGATCGCCCGTTAAAACGGACTGACCTTGAAGAAAGATAGCCCCCGTATCCCGATAGCTATTCGGACGGGTCTGACTAGCTCGCTCCCAGGATAATCCTACCACGTTTCAGGCTCGTAGCTACCTTGACTGAAACCTTCGACCGTTGCCAAATTTGCCAAGAGATAGAGTTTACTTTGAACAATTACGAAAACACGGAGTATAATATACGGATTATACGCACTCGTAATTGGAAGGAAAAGATAACAAATAAGAGACCCACACAAATCAGAATTGATTTGATCGTATGTATGTATGATTTAAAGGAGAAAGCTAGAGAATGAAGTTTTGCTTTTCTTTGGTGTGTACGTAAGTGCTCTGCTCGAAAAAAACATGCAGGGATAGTTATTTATATTTCGTATAATGGAATCAGGAAATAGAGGGATAACAGTCCAACGGAAATCAGATATAACTATGCATTTAAGCAATGGATAGTGAACGGCTAAACTGGTCCAAGTTTTTAGGATCCCATCAATAGCTACTTGACTAAGTGTGATCATTTTGAATTTAAAGAAAAAATTCAATCTCACAGCCGTTAGCTACAATATTGCATTGTCCAAAATATTAGAGTCTCCAAAGTTATGACACTAATTTCATCACTTATAATATGTCCAATCAGACACACATACAAGTGAAATATTAAAATGTCATATCTCCTTATATGATACTTGAACAATGTTCCTTAGCATATAATGATTTAAATAATCACACGAGACCGTTAATTCACTAATACGGAACAAATAAATTCATTCTTTTAATACATCACTTACAACCTTTACAACTATGGATTCTGACTATAATTTAAATCCAAATATGTAAATTGTTCTTTGATGTATTATCAGCCTCCACTCCATATTTGATACAATTATATCTTAGGGCACAAAATTTGTGACCCTCAAAAATAACATTTATATCATCATATTTCCAACAATCCCCCACAAATCCATAGTTGTAAGTTCAACTCTAAGAGACATAACGTGCTTTCAAATATGGTACCTTCCGGTTTGAACCAAATTCTGATCTCTTACCCCTAACCCCCACAGGAACTGAGTGAACAGAGTTCTTGAACTCGAACCTTGGTTGTGTTGGTGTGGGATAAAAGCAACACGCTAACGGCAATGGCAACGATCTATAGGGGTGACGCTTTACGGCCGTGCGTTCCGATCCTGTCTCAAGAATGTCATCGAGAATTAACCCTTATTCTCTTATTGCGGCCACACAATAACATACTCATAGTTGGGCATCTCCAAGAGTGCATTGCTAACACTCTGCTATTAAAGCTTGATCCCATTCAGAGTCTTAAACTCTTACTAACATAGCAATTTCAACATCTCTAAGGTTTTCCCAGGAATGGAACTCATACTATTATTTTAATGAGATGCACAATTCACTCTACGGTTTGTTTATACCACATTGAACCTACTTTATGGGATCTCCATTCAGATAGGTTGGGTTGCTACCGTAGATGAATAATTATTGGGTTTCAGTCCCATTCCTAACCTCGATTTTATCACTTGATTTAAATCAAGTCCTTTTATTAACGGGTCCGCTGTATTATCTTTGGATCCAACAAAATCAACAGCAAACACCCCTTGAGACACAAATTTCCTTATAGTTTTAATCTAACTTGAATGTGTCTCCTAGTCTTTTGATTATACTTTGTACTCCTAATTTTTGCAATTGTACTCATACTATCACAATGCAAACAAATAGGTGGAATTGGCTTGCTGAATATAGGTAACTCGGACATTAGTCCCTTAAACCATTCAGCCATAATTCCTGTAGTATCCAACGCACATAATTCAGCCTCAAAAGTAGACCGAGAAAGTATGGTTTGTTTAGTGGACTTCCAGGCAACAGCCCCACCACCAAACGTAAATACATAGCCGGTACACCCGTAACTCCCGGAGTTCTTAGCAATCCAGCTTGCATCACTATATCCTTCAAGAACAGGAGGATACTTACCATAATGCAAACCTAAGGAAATAGTTCCTTTCAAGTATCTAAATACTCTATCTAAGGCCTCCCAATGAGTTCTGTTTGGACAGCAAGTGTACCGACTAAGTTTAGACACTGAAAATGCAATATCAGGTCTAGTACAGTTAGCTAAGTAACCCAAGCTACCAATCATCTGAGAATATCTTAATTGAGACACAGGAACACCACTTTCATTTTTATACAAAGCTACTGAAGGATCATAGGGTGTTTTAGCAATTCTACTATTTTTAAACCCAAATTTCTCAATTAATTTTTCAATATAATGTGACTGAGAAATAGAAATGCCTTCAGTTGATCTAGTCAACTTTAGCCCAAGAATTACTTCCGCCACCCCCATATCCTTCATTTCAAACTTTGTTTTCAAAAATGACTTAGTCTCAAAAATTATATTATCATTAGTGCCAAATAATAATATATCATCAACATATAGGCATAAAATAATGCTTATGTCACCTTTACATTTATAATAAACACTTTGATCAGCATCTATAAGAGTAAATCCAAACGAAGAAATTATTTTATCAAATTTTTCGTTCCATTGCTTAGGGGCTTGCTTAAGTCCATATAAAGACTTAACTAATTTACAAACTTTTCTCTCATTGCCTTTTGCCACAAATCCCTCAGGCTGATCCATATAAATTTCTTCTTCAAGTTCACCATGAAGAAACGCTGTCTTAACATCCATTTGATGAATTTTAAGACCATATACGGATGCCACTGCTATAAGCATTCTTATTGTGGTCATTCTTGCAACCGGAGCATATGTATCGAAAAAATCAATACCTTCTTTTTGTTTGTAACCCTTAGCAACTAATCTGGCCTTATATTTATCAATGGTACCATCTGGTTTTAACTTCCTTTTAAAAATCCATTTACATCCAATAGTGGTACAACCAGGAGGAAGGTCAACGAGCTCCCATGTTCCGTTTTGAACAATAGAGTCCATTTCACTTTTAATGGCATCCTTCCAATACATGGCCTCAGACGTGGCCATTGCATCTCTAAAGGAAATTGGATCACCCTCAATATTGTAAGTGATAAAATCACTTCCAAAATCTTTAGTGATCCTAGCTCGTTTGCTTCTTCTAGGCTCATCTATATCATTTGATTCAAAATCAATATGACAAGAACTACCAGATTTTACCCCCACATTTGTCATCTTTTCCACTTGATCAGGAATTGAATTAAATGTGGTTTCTTGATTTTTAAAAGAAGTATTTTGGGGCACACCTGTTTTCATTGGAAAAACATCCTCAAAGAAAGTAGCATCACGAAGCTCTACAATAGTGTTAACATCTATGCCGGAAATTTCAGATTTAATAACCAAAAATCTCAATGCATAAGAATGTTCAACATATCCAATAAAAATAGCATCAACAGTTTTAGGCCCAAGTTTCTTTCTTTTGTGTTCAGGGACTAATACTTTTGCAAGACAGCCCCACACTTTAAAATATTTCAAACTTGGTTTTCTGCCTGTCAAGAGTTCAAATGGACACTTATCTTTATGTTTCATGGGAATCCTATTCAGAATATGGCATGCCGTATTCAAGGCTTCCCCCCACATAAACTTAGGTAATCCAGAGTTCTCTAATAAACTGTTAATCATATCTTTAAAAGTTCTATTTTTCCGTTCAGCTACTCCATTTGATTGTGGTGAATAAGGAGGTGTTTCCTCATGTACTATACCATATTTTTGGCATTCTAGTACAACTAAATTAGAAATATACTCTCCTCCCCTATCAGATCTTAACCTTTTAATTTTCTTGCCAATTTGATTCTCTATTTCATTCATAAAAATTAAGAATTTTTCAAGAGCTTCATCTTTACCCTTAAGTAGATACACATAGCAATATTTAGAATAATCATCAATAAAAGTGATAAAGTATTTCTTTTGGTCACGAGTAAGCACTCCATTAAACTCACAAATGTCGGTATGAATTAAATCAAGTAATTCTGAATTTCTATCAATTGAATGATAAGGTTTTCTTACTTGTTTAGTAGTAGCACATACCAAACATTTCTTAGTTTTATCAATAGAGTGTTTAGGGATTAAATTTAAATTCATCATTCTTTTTACAGAATCTAAATTAACGTGACCCAAACGACAATGCCATAAACAAGAAGAATCACAATTCTCAGATACATAATTTAATTCAAAATAATCAACCACAATCTTAAAAAGTCCATCCGACAAGTAACCCTTGCCAATAAAAGTTCCGCCAAATAAAATTACAACTTTATTTAATTTAAAAGATAGCTCATAACCCTCCTTAACAAGAATGGAACCACTAACAATGTTCCTTCTAATTTCGGGGACGTGATGCACCCCATGCAAAGATAGAATTTTTCCCGAAGGAAATTTAATTTCTACTTTTCCAATTCCTTGCACACTTGCAGCACTTGTGTTCCCCATCATCACTGTTCATCCAACCACAGGCTGATAAGAAACAAAGAGCGATTTATCAGCACATACATGCACATTCGCTCCCGTATCTATTAGCCACTCATTGGAATTATAAATAGTGAAAATTTGAGGATTAATAGAAACGTACCCATTAATAGCCAGTCACCATGTTGACTTGAGGTCCCCCAGATTGAGCCTTGGCCTTTTTATTAGGACACAATTTGGCCCAATGCCCCATCTGTCCACAGTTCCAGCATGGTCGGTTTGCCTTTGATTTCTTTGCAATTTTTAGTTTGGCCTTTATGGGTTTAAAAGATGGTGAGTGTTTATTTTTAGAATTATGTGCTTGCTTTCCCCCAGTTATGACATGAGCCTTCGGTTGAAATTCAACAGGCGCAATATAACCCGCTTTCTTATGCTCCTCCTCAACAGTAATGGAATGCATCAAAGATTTCCAAGTGATCTTTTTCATTTTATGTTTTAAAGTCATACCAAAATCTTCCCATGATTTGGGAAATTTTTCTATGACCGCCATCACTTTAAATTTTTCAGGCAATTCCATATCCGCTTCACGAAGAGAATGTAAGATAAGCTCAAATTCTTGTGTCTGTTCTAACACTGATTTACCTTCTTTCATGTCAAATCGTAGGAATTTAGAAACAATATACTTTTCAAGACCGTGGTCCTCAGTATTATATTTCTTATCCAACTCATCCCAAAGGTCCTTAGCCGTGCCGTGGAGGGTGCAATAGACATCAAATAACATGTTGGAGAGACCCAACAAAATCATGCCTTTTGCAATTTCATCCCTCTCACGCCATAAAGCTTGGCGTTCAAGACTTTTGGGATCTGATTCAACAACGGGGGGACACACCGTCATAATTACCGAGAGCAAGCCCTTGGTGATTAACCAAATTTTCATACGTTGTTGCCAACGCTTGAAAAAATGCCCAGAAAATTTTTCCGGCATTCCAGTTAAATCAATTCTTTGCGAGCCCGTAGCAACATAGTCAAGTGTGTCTCCACAATTAGTCACAGACACATTATTTTCAGGGATTTCATCCACATTATTCTCAACAACAACATTTTCGGAAACTGCATTTTCCAAGTTTGCCATTTTGGATTTTCCAAAACTCGAGAAATAATATCTTTCTTCAAGATTGTTATAAAAATGATATTAAAATTGCGAGTTTAACCAGATAAAAATCCCGAGTTTAAACAAATCACCAGACAAACCGCCAAATGCAAGAAAAGAAAATAATAATAATAATAATTAGAATGAATTGAAATGAAATAATAGTAAAGATAAGAATGCTTATCGCAGGATCGCCCGTTAAAACGGACTGACCTTGAAGAAAGATAGCCCCCGTATCCCGATAGCTATTCGGACGGGTCTGACTAGCTCGCTCCCAGGATAATCCTACCACGTTTCAGGCTCGTAGCTACCTTGACTGAAACCTTCGACCGTTGCCAAATTTGCCAAGAGATAGAGTTTACTTTGAACAATTACGAAAACACGGAGTATAATATACGGATTATACGCACTCGTAATTGGAAGGAAAAGATAACAAATAAGAGACCCACACAAATCAGAATTGATTTGATCGTATGTATGTATGATTTAAAGGAGAAAGCTAGAGAATGAAGTTTTGCTTTTCTTTGGTGTGTACGTAAGTGCTCTGCTCGAAAAAAACATGCAGGGATAGTTATTTATATTTCGTATAATGGAATCAGGAAATAGAGGGATAACAGTCCAACGGAAATCAGATATAACTATGCATTTAAGCAATGGATAGTGAACGGCTAAACTGGTCCAAGTTTTTAGGATCCCATCAATAGCTACTTGACTAAGTGTGATCATTTTGAATTTAAAGAAAAAATTCAATCTCACAGCCGTTAGCTACAATATTGCATTGTCCAAAATATTAGAGTCTCCAAAGTTATGACACTAATTTCATCACTTATTGTTGAAGATGGAGTCTTGTTCAGAATTTCAGAACTGATACCCGCCCGGGTCAGGTGAAGAACCCGACCGGGTCAGCAAGGCAGAAGCCTTCTGTTTTGGAAACCCGACCTGGTTTCTACCCGGGTGTGATGTTCTGTGAAGGAGACCCGACCGGGTCAAATAAGAGACCCGACCGGGTCAGTCGACGGGAATTTTAAAAACAGGCTTAATTTTGGGCCTGCGGCTCTAATCTCAGTATTAGGTTTTCCTAAACCTATTTAAACGACTCTTATGTACTTGTAAACCTCTTGGGACGCTGATAATAATACAAAACTCTCTCTCGTTCGCCGTGGACTAGCGTAATCACCCCGATTGCGTGAACCACGTTAATTCTTGTGTTCTTGCTCTTAATTTATCGTTTATCTTTGCCTAATCGTAACAATTGGTATCAGAGCTATGGCTGACGAAGGGAAGGTTAAGATCGATAAATTTGATGGTCAAGATTTCGCTTTCTGGAAGATGCAGATCGAGGATTATCTCTACCAGAAAAAGCTTCATCAACCGTTGTCTGAGAACAAACCAGAAACGATGACGGAAGCGGAATGGAATTTGTTGGATCGACAGGCTCTTGGTGTGGTGAGGTTGTCGTTGGCGAAGAACGTTGCCTACAACATCGTTAACGAGAAGACAACATATGGACTGCTCAAGGCGTTATCCAACATGTATGAGAAACCCTCAGCAGCAAACAAGGTTTTCTTGATTAGACAGTTGGTGAATACAAGAATGAAGGAAGGTGCATCCGTGACAGATCACATCAACGAGTTTAATTCAATCATATCCAGGTTAGGCTCGGTTGAGATTAAATTCGATGATGAAGTCCAAGCGTTACTTTTGTTATCATCTTTGCCCGATAGTTGGTCCGGTACAGTCACAGCGGTTAGTAGTTCATCTGGAACCACTAAGCTTACCTTTGAAGGTATTCGTGACTTAATCCTTGGTGAGGATATCCGGAGGAGGAGTTCGGGGGATAGCTCCAACAGTTTGTTGAGTACTGAAGATAGAGGCAGAAAATCCAATAGAGGAGGTAACAAGAAGGGAAGATCGAAGTCGAGAAAGAGAGGGCAATCCAAGAACCGGAAGGACATCAATTGTTGGAATTGCAAAGAGAATGGACACTTCAGAAATCAGTGCCCAAAACCCCCTGCAGACAAAGGCAAGAAGGAGGTGAACGTGGCAGAAGATTATGAAGATGTTCTAATTTGCAGCGTTGAGAATTCAGTTGAGTCCTGGATCATGGATTCAGGTGCGTCGTTTCATGCTTGTCATTGCAGGGATTTGATGAAAAATTTCAGGCCCTACAGCGGAAGAGTTCGTTTGGCAGATGACAAATCCCTGGAGATCACGGGTATTGGAGATGTTGATCTCAGTACCTCTTTGGGTACAACCTGGAGGCTGAAAGATGTGAGGTATATTCCAGACCTGAAGAAGATGTTGATCTCAGTTGGACAGCTTGATGAGGAAGGCCATAACGTTAGTTTTGGCAACAAGCAATGGAAGGTGACAAAGGGAAAGCTGGTCATTGCTCGTGGGCAGAAGCACGGTACACTGTACATGGTTGAAGTGTCCACAGATGGGGCAAACGCAGCAGTTGAAGATACAGGGGTCTCTACTTTGTGGCACCAAAGACTTGGGCACATAAGTGAGAACGGAATGAAGATGCTGTCTTCAAAGGGCAAAATCCCAGATTTGAAGAATTCAAAGTTGAGCTTTTGTGAGCCATGTGTTCTAGGCAAACAAAAGAGGGTAACCTTTGTGAAGACAGGGCAGCAACCCAAGATTGAGCGACTGGAGTTGATTCATTCAGATGTCTACGGACCTACAAAGGTCTCTTCGATTGGAGGTTCCCGTTACTATGTCACATTCATTGATGACTCTACACGGAAGGTATGGGTTTATTTTCTTAAAAATAAATCTGAAGTCTTTAACACTTTTAAGAAGTTCAAAGCTGCAGTAGAGAATGAAACGAATCTTAAGATTAAGTGTTTAAAGAGTGATAATGGGGGTGAGTACAGTAGCACAGAGTTTGTAGAGTATTGTGCTGAACAGGGGATCAGAATGCTGAAGACGGTTCCAGAAACACCACAGCAAAATGGTGTTGCAGAGAGGATGAACAGAACACTGAATGAGAGGGCCAGGAGCATGAGATTGCATGCAGGACTTCCAAAGATGTTCTGGGCCGATGCGGTGAACACTGCAGCATACTTGATCAACAGAGGACCCTCATCTCCCATAGATTTCAAAATTCCAGAAGAGGAATGGAAAGGTCGAGAGGTATCCCTTACTCACTTGAAAGTTTTTGGTTGTATTTCTTATGTCAAAGTTAGAGATGCAGATAGTGACAAGCTTGAGGCAAAGGCAACGAAGTGTATCTTTATTGGGTACGGGATGGATGACATGGGCTACAGGTTCTGGGACAACCACAGCAAGAAGGTTATCAGAAGTAGAGATGTCACTTTCAACGAGAATGCCCTGTATAAAGATGGTCTTGCAGCTGAAACTAGCAAAGCCAAGCAACCAGAAAACAAGCAACAAGTGGTGTTTGACGGGATGACTGAAGACGACATAGCACAACCTGCTGGTTGTGATGAGATGACTGGAGGTTCAGGGAGCAGTGGGAGCTCAGGAGATACAGGGATGTCTGAAGATAGTGGGAGTGATGAAGATGGTGAAAATTCAGAGGCAGCTACTCCTCAAGTCAGACAGTCCACTAGAATCAGAAGACCTCCTAACAGATATTCTCCTTCAGCAAATTACCTTTTGCTGACCGAGAATGGAGAGCCAGAATCTTACTCAGAGGCGCTGACCATGAAAGATTCCATACAGTGGAAGAAGGCCATGAAGGATGAGTTAGATTCACTTGACAAGAACCAAACTTGGTCCTTAGTCAAGCTACCACCGGGAAAGAAAGCTTTGGAGAACAAGTGGGTGTTCAGAATCAAAGATGAAGCTGATGGGAGCAGAAGATACAAGGCGAGGCTAGTTGTCAAGGGGTTCCAACAGAAGAAGGGGGTTGATTACAATGAAATTTTCTCCCCGGTTGTGAAGATGACTACTATCAGATTGATCCTTGGTATTGTTGCTGCTGAAAATTTGCATTTGGAGCAGCTGGATGTGAAGACTGCTTTTCTTCATGGTGACCTTGAAGAAGACATTTACATGTCCCAACCAGCAGGTTTCCCAGTGAGTGGTAAAGAGAAGATGGTGTGCAAACTCAAGAAGAGTCTATACGGGCTGAAGCAAGCTCCTAGACAGTGGTACTTGAAGTTTGACAGTTTTATGCAGCGGAATGGGTACACTAGATGCAAGATGGACCATTGCTGTTACTTGAAGAAATTCGAGTCTTCATACATTATTCTTCTTTTGTATGTTGATGACATGTTGGTGGCTGGAGCAAACATGCAGGAGATCAACAAGCTCAAGAAGAAGTTGTCTGAAGAATTTGAGATGAAGGATTTAGGGGAGGCGAGACAGATTCTTGGGATGAGCATAGTCAGAGACAAGGTGGAAGGTACTTTAAAGCTTTCACAGCAGAAGTACATTCAGAAGGTCCTTGAGAAGTTCAGAATGACGGATGCCAAGCCAAGGAGTACACCGTTAGGGAGTCAGTTGAAACTCTCCAAGCAGCAGTCTCCGAAGACCGATGAAGACAAAGATGAGATGGCTAAAGTCCCTTATGCATCAGCAGTTGGCAGTTTGATGTATGCGATGGTGTCAACAAGGCCAGACATTGCTCATGCAGTGGGAGTTGTTAGCAGGTTTATGTCAAATCCAGGGAAGGAACATTGGGAAGGAGTCAAGTGGCTGCTACGCTATTTGAAAGGCACTTCTAGAACTGCTCTTTGTTTCAGGAGGAATAGGGCAATTCTAGAAGGTTTTGCAGATGCTGATTTGGGGGGCTGTCATGATTCCGGGAAGAGCACTACGGGTTACATATTCACTATTGGAGGTACGGCAATCAGTTGGATGTCCAGATTACAGAAGAGTGTAGCTCTTTCAACCACAGAAGCAGAATATATGGCTATTGCTGAAGCGGCCAAGGAGATGATTTGGTTGAAGAACTTTCTTTTGGAGTTGGGCATGAAACAGGGGGATTGTGGTCTGTACTGTGACAACCAGAGTGCTATTCATCTCGCGAAGAATCCGGTGTTTCACAGCAGAACG